CCGTCTCAACATCAATGATTCCAAACTTCCTATCTTCAGCCCAGAACTCTCCTCTTTTATACCCAACTGCCTCCCTGACATCTCCACTTGAATGCCTAACAGGCATCTCAAACTTTAGGTGTCCAAAACCAGAACGTGGGAGTCTGTCCCCAAACTTTCTCCTCCTGATGTCATCCCATCGCAAGGGCAACTCCATCCTTCTGCTCACTCAGGCTGAAAACCTTGGGGTCCTGTGTGACTCTGCTCTTTCATTCACATCCCACAGCCACCCCCCCAGCAAATCTTCTTGGTCCTACACTCAAAATATATTGGAATCCAGCCGTGTCTCATCTCCTCCACTGCTGCCATTCTGACCAAGCACCACCATCCCACACCTGGATTATCTTGATAGTATTCTGACCTGGTCTCTGTGTTTCAGCCCTTGACCCCTTACAGTGTGTTCTCCACACAGTATCCAAAGGGATTCTTCCCAGCTCTGTGTTTTCCCATCTCAGATTAAAAACTGAAGCCCTTATGGTGTTCTTCAAGCCAATACAGCACCTGACACTCCCCCCACCCCTTTATCTCTCGGACTTCATCTACCACTCTCTCGTTTCCTTGCTTTGAACCACCCTGGCCTCCTTGCTTCCCTCCAGTATTCAGGCTCTGACTCAGAACCTTTGCACTTGCTGTTCCCTTTGTCTTCTTCTTCAGGTATTTTATCAAAACTTTTTCTCAGTGAGACCTTCCTGACTAACTTGATGTCCAATTTAAAACCAGAATCAATCCCTATCCTGTGTTCCCTTCCCTGCCCTGTTTTGCTCCATGACACTTATCTGACACACCATATACTTTACTGGTTTACCTATGTATGTCTGCTTCCATAGATATCCCCTACGAGAGCAGGGATTACGTTCTGTTTTGCTCACTGCTGTATCCTCAGTGCCTGGCACATAGTAAGTTCTTAATAAATATTTGAAGGATGAATTCAGATGCTTTGGGTCCAATGAATTAGAATCTGGTACATGAGTGGAGCCCAGAAATCTGTATTTTAAAAAGACATCCCAAGTACAGTTAGGATGGAGAAGCCCTGTTCCAGGTCAGCAGTAAAGAAGCCCAGGAATATTCTGCAAAGTCTACCCCTCTCATTTCACTGAAGTAACCAAGACCGGAGGCGGGAGGAGTGGCCCCAGGTCCCAGGATGAGAAAGGGGCAGAGGAAGAACTCAGACTTCAGTTTTGGAGTATTTCAGTATTGGATGCCCAGCACAGGGCTCTCTCTGCAGCCCCAGTCGGCCTGGGCCTGATCAGTCTGGTTGAATCGCTGAATCCCTGGAAGCAAGGCTCAGGGTGGGGTGTGGTCCCCGGCACAGGTGGTGGCAGGCAGACTCAGACCTGCCTTTGCTCAAACTAACCAAGTGGTAAAGTTGTCAGTTTAAGTTCAAGAGTTGATCCTAGACTTTGAAATTATTAACCCATTTTTTAAAAATTTAAGACTATAACAATTATTAACAAATGCAATTAAACTTGGGGGAGAGAGTCTTAGAGTCGAGTTCTGATGTGAGGGAGCTGGCAGGCATAATTTGGTAGGCCTTCCATGACACTGGAGGAGGGCAAGTTTCAAAAATGTTTGAATGCCTCTTTACCTGGGTCTAGGATTTCCCAAACCTGGATCACCTGGGGCACTAGTGAAAAACACAAGTTCCTTCCACTGCCCAGATGTTGGGTTCAGTGTGGCTCAGAGCAGGCTCAGGAATTTGGATTTTTAAGAGATGCTTATGCTCTGCAAGTTTGAGAAACCCTGTCCAGGGCCATGCCTGTGGAGTACTGAATCTTATAAGGCAATAAGGTCTTGGTGTCAGGCCCTCCCTCATGCCTAGTCTGTTTAGAAACAGCAAGACCCAATTCCAACGCATTCAAGCAAACACTAGTCTGTCTACAAATCCCAGGAGACTCTTATGCTTGTCAAATGCACCTTGGGGAATTTGTATTCTAGTGCTTCAAAGAATGGCTTGAGGGGACTTCCTTGGTGGTCCAGTGGTTAAGACTTCGCCTTCCGGGCGTCCCTGGTGGCGCAGTGGTTGAGAATCTGCCTGCTAATGCAGGGAACATGGGTTCGAACCCTGGTCTGGGAGGATCCCACATGCCGCGGAGCAACTAGGCCCGTGAGCCACAACTGCTGAGCCTGCGCATCTGGAGCTTGTGCTCCGCAACAAGAGAGGCCGTGATAGTGGGAGGCCCACGCACCGCAATGAAGAGTGGCCCCCGCTTGCCACAACTAGAGAAAGCCCTCACACAGAAACGAAGACCCAACACAGCAAAAATAAATAAATTAATTAATAAACTCCTACCCCCAACATCTTCTTAAAAAAAAAAGAAAACATTAAAAAAAAAAAAAGACTTCGCCTTCCAATGCAGGGGGTGTGGATTCGATCCCTCGTCAGGAGCTAAGATCCCACGTGCCTTGGGGCCAAAAAAACAAAAACATATAACAGACCAATATTGTAACAAATTCAATAAAAAATTCAATAAAGACTTTAAAAATGGTCCACATCAAAAAAAAAAAAAAAAAAAAGAATGACGGGCACCGTTATGACCCAGCAGTTATTGGAAGGTATGTCCTACCTGGATTATTCGAACGTGCAGAGGTTGCTGGGAGATGGCCCCAGGATGGCAGGAGCCCCACGGGGCTTTGTGGGAAGGCCAGCTTGACTGGTTCCAGAGTGATGAACGGGGACCCAGGGATGTCTGACACCTGAAGTTCATGCTGACATTTACCTCCCAAGTTTACACACATACCCACAAGAACACACATTTACACAGGGAAGTAAGAAACCCTAGGCCTCTTCCAGACAAAACACTGCTTCCTGCTTCCTTCCTCCAACCCACCCTTCCAGCCCTGCCAGTTCTTTCTACAGAACAGTTCTAATTGAGTAGCTTCTGCTCAAAATCCTTCAATAGTTCCCCCTGCCATCACACCAGGCCGATGCACTCTGGTTTGACATTCAGGGCTTCTGGATACGACTCCTTCCCTGGGAAGGCAGAATAATGGCCCCACAAAGAGGTTCACATTCTAATTCCTGGAACCTGTGAATGCATCACATGGCAAAAGGGACTTTGCAGATGGAATTAAGGACTTTGAGAGGAAGAAATTATCCTGGATTATTCGAGTGGGCCCAATCCAATGACACGAATCCTTATAAGTGGAGAACCTTTCCTGGCTGTGGTTAGAGAGATGTGATGGAAAAAGGGTCAGAGATTGGGACTTCCCTAGTGGTCCAATGGTTAAGACTCCACGCTTCCACTGCAAGGGGGCGCGGGTTCGATCCCTGGTCAGGGAACTAGGATCCCACATGCTGCACGGCCAGGGAAAAATCCAAAAGGTCAGAGGGCTGTGATGTTGCTGACTTTGAAGATGGAGGAAAGGGGCCACGAGCCAAGAAATGCACATAGCCTCTAGAAGCTAGAAGAGGAAACGGATTCTCCCCAGAGACTCCAGAAAGAAATGCAACCCTCCAGACATCTTGATTTTACCCCAGTGAGACCCATGTTGGACTTCTACTGAACTGTAAGATAACAAATGTATACTGCTTTAAGAGACTAAAGTTGTGATAACTTATGACCACGATAGAAAACGAATACATTCCCCCCTGAGGCTCCCTCCAGCTAGTTCGTCTCTGGCCATTTTTACCCCAGATACTACGGGTTTTCCTCCCTCCACACCTCTGCTCGTGCTGTCGGTCCATCCAGGATGTTCGGATCACCTCTTTCCCGAGCTCCTACTAACCACCACCTTTCACGCTAAACTGTCCTCAGCATCGACCACCTGCTATCAGCGTCAACTTCTGCCTGCTCACCCTCTGGGCTCCCCACTAGACCATAAACTCCTTATTTCCCTCTGACTCCACGACCAGGAATGGTCCACAGAGGTTTGAAGAGTGGACCTGGGCATCCTTATGTAGAACCTCTGGCTCTTGGCCCCTAACTGCATCAAGGTCACCTGGGGATCTTAAAAATCCCAATTCTACCAAATCATTGTGGAAGAATGGGAGGTAGCGCCACGTGTGTTATTGGGAGAAGATTTCCAAGATTCAGAGTTAGGTGAGAGAAGCAGGGAGTTGAAGAGTGAGTAAAATATGTTTCCATTTGTGTGAAAAAGGGAAAAAAAATTTTATATAATTAAAAAATTTTTGACTATCTTCAGAAAGATATGAAAAATAAGTGAGAGTATATAGCCCCCTGGAACTTTCTGAATCCTGTACCACATATACTTATTACCTATTCACACACAAAAGTAAAATTTTAAAATTGAAAATACTGATTCTTCTTGTACAGTCAGAAAAGGAGCCAGGATGTCCCAGTTGGGATGCAGGAATCTGTGTCTAAAGTACTGTCTGCCAGCTTATTCCAAGTCAGGAACCAAATTTTTAGGAAGAGGACAGAACCAGGATGCAAAGGATATTTGAAAGCATAACCTTAAAATGCACTTAATCGGAAAAATGAAAGCTCTCCAAGGGATTGCAAAGCCAGTTTTGGGAACCCACTGATTTAATCCCTTCTCTGCATTTTATGGATGAGGAAAGAGAGGGAGTGTGACTTGCCCAAAGCTACACAGCCAGCCAGAGGGACAGGCCAGTGCCCCAGCAATGTCTGATAATGACAATGACAGATTCCCAACCTCTGCCCACCCTCCATGCAAAGACTTCTCCCTTAGAAGACCCTGCCGACTCACAGGGCAGGAGGACAGAAAGATAGAGAAGAAAACACCATCTTTTTTTTTTTTTTTTTAATTTATTTATTTTTTGGCTGTGTTGGGTCTTTGTTGCTGCGCACGGGCTTTCTCTAGTTGCAGCGAGGGCTACTCTTTGTTGCGGTGCATGGGCTTCTCATTGTGGTGGCTTCTCTTTGTTGCAGAGCACAGGCTCTAGGCACGAGGGCTGCAGTAGTTGTGGCACGTGGGCTCCGTAGTTGTGGTTCACGGGCTCTAGAGTGCAGGCTCAGTAGTTGTGGCACACGGGCTTAGTTGCTCCGTGGCATGTGGGATCTTCCCGGACCAGGGCTCGAACCCATGTCCCCTGCGTTGGCAGGCGGATTCTTAACCACTGCACCACCAGGGAAGTTGGAAAACACCATCTTTAATCAACCCACCTGCACAGAAACCAGGGCAACACTCCCTGCCTTGCAACGTCCCAGTGAGAAGAAAACAGTCTCCTTGAAAAAACCATCTTACAAAAACAAAAGGCTTCAAAGCACCAGTGGCTCAAGTCGTTGAATAGAAAGGGGCTTGGGGGTGAGATGACAGCTGGCTGGGGGTGGCTCTGAGAAGAGAGGGCTGGAGGCAGGACTTGGTCCAGGAGCAGAGCAGCAGCCAGGCCTGAAGGGAACTGTTGCCCTCCTGAGCTGTACCCATAGCTAACCAGGCTCACCATTTGGGACCTTGGGCCCTGTAGTGACCAGAGGGACTCCTGGGTTAGGCTCTTTGGCACAGACCTGCAGATGGGATAGTAGGGTGGGGTCCAAGTTCAGGATATTTTGGCCTTAGATGGGAGGGAATGCTAGATCAGAGGGTGGAGAGCAAGGAATGGTCCCCATGGATGGGCTCAGGTGTGCAACCGTCTGTATTTCCATCTGGTTCCCCCGTGCCTCCCACCCTCCTTCCTAAGCCAGGACCACTCCTACTTCACAAACTGGAAGCTGAGGCCTGATCCTCCTGCCCTGAGATTCACCAGTCAGCGCACAGGATGCAGGGTCCTCAGAGCGGTCTGTGGAGGGAGGCGAGGAGAATGGGCCCTCATCTCTACTTGCTCTTAAGGAAGGGTGCTGGCCCTCCAGACCCCCCACCATGACCCCCACCCCCATTCTGCCTCTTCAGAACAACTTCTGGATTTGTTAGAGGTTGCTTCTGGACACCGGCATGATCATCAACACTGGTGATCTTTGAACACTATTGACCAGGCAGCACAGGTGAGCCCTTTTCCACTCCGGAACCACAGGTCTTCCAACTGGTGAGGTGGATGGAGCCACCAGGGGTTGGCAGAGTTGCTGAAAGGGTGGGGGATCGTGGGTGCAGCAGGCTCAGGGACGTGGAAGGGGGTGGGGCGACTGAGTCGTGTCCCCCCTTTGCTAGAGAGAGCTTGAAAGCTTTGCCAAGGGTGGACAGAGGCCGAGTCTAAGAAGGCTTCCCTGTGGGTCAGGCTGAATTCAGGGCTCTGGGATCCGTCCATCCTGTTCCCAACAAGAGAACGAATATATTGCTTTAAGAGAGGAGTTAGCAAGTGGTGGTGGTGGTATGTGAGTGTGGTGTATATCACATGGGTTCTAGAGTGTCCAAGCTGGAAGGGGGCTTGGAGATGGGTTTTGGAGTCTGAAACTACAGATCATATTCAAGGCCTGCCGCCACCAAAAGCCCAGCTGTGTGGCCTCAAGCAAATTGCTTTACATCTCTGGGCCTCAGTTTCCGTATCTGCAAAATGGGGATTATGTAAAATCCCAGTATAGTCCAGGGAATTGAGAGTCAAGTGAAAAGGCTAGAAAGAGCTCCATTTACGAAGGGATTATTTTAATTATTTGAGGTCGGAAACTGAGGCCCAGAGAGGGTAAGGGCTTTGCCAGATGTCACATAGAGAGTTAGTGATGGAGCTGCGATTAGAACCCAGAACTCCTGCTTCTAGTTCAGGGTAACTTTCCCCAGGGCTGGTGAATGAATGTGGTGAGATGGGGGTGAGTCTGTCTGTCCTGTCCTTTCTCTCTGGACAGGGGACAGGATGCTGGGTGAAGAAGGGTGAAAGGGAGAGGCTGGAGAAGGGCGGGAGGCTCTGGCACACGCCAAGGTGGAGATAAAAAAATACAAACCCCGCGAACCCCCTCCCCCGCCCCACCCCCGCCCCACCCCTTAAGTCCAGGCGGCTAAGCGCCAAGTCCATGTCTGCTTCGGACCCATGTCAAGCCGACCCAGGCTGCAGTCCGGTCAGCGAGCCGCCAGGGGGCACGCCTGCCATCTTGGCCAGAGCTCGCGGCTGCGGCGGTCTGTCTAGCCGCGGGGGTGGTCGTGGGGCAGAAGCTACTACCCCGCCCTGCAGGAAACAAAGGCAGGTTAGGGAAGTGGACCCCTAAGTACGGAGGCGGCGACAGCCGGCTGCCCTCTCCGCTCCTCCCTCCCCTTCTTTCTCCTACACTAACGCCCGAGCCGGGGTCCCTCCACCCCACCCTGCTCCGCGCCGTGACCCACGTGTACAGAGGCTGCAGTTGTAAATGCGACGTCTTCTGCGGCGCCTGGTATCCATAGGAGTCAAAACCGCCGATGAAATCAACTGCGGAAGGGCAGACGGCACGTGGTTAGAGACGGGCCTGTGAAGGGGGCAAGTTATGGGAGGCTGGGTCCTGAAAGGGAGGGATCTGAGGCCAGACCCTGTACAGGGCCTTAGGGGTTGGGCTTTGTTCCAGTGTCCTGATGGACGGGCCAAGGCCTAAGAGGATAGAGAGCTGGGGGGTGGATGGGGAGGGTGGCCCTTTAAGGGAGAAGGGTGCGGAGAGGCAAGACCTGTTGGGCGTGGGAGTGGGACGAACTGGGAATGGTTGGTGCTTGACAGGAGTGGGGCTGTGGAGCCCCTCAGAGCTACAGGAAGGGGCCTAAGAGGGGCAGGTAGGGGGGCAGTGCTGGAGCCTTGGATCGGGCACCTGGACTTCTGGGCCTCAGCCCAGAATGGGCTGGCTATGCAGATCCCCACTCACCCTGCTGCCTCTTCTTCCCCAGCCCCCAGAGGGGCCCCTTAAATCAGGGATCCCCAACCCCCAGGCCACAGACCGGTACTGGTGTTAGGAACCGGGCCACACAGCAGGTGAGCGGCAGGCAAGCAAGCGAAGCTTCATCTGTATTTACAGCCGCTCCCCATCGCTCGCATTACCGCCTGAGCTCCGCCTCCTGTCAGATCAGCAGCGGCATTAGATTCTCATAGGAGCGTGAGCCCTACTGTGAACTGCGCATGTGAGGGATCTAGGTTGCACGCTTCTTATGAGAATCTAATGCCTGATGATCTGAGGTGGAGCTGAGGCCGTGATGCTAGTGCTGGGGAGCAGCTGCAAATACAGATTATCATTAGCAGAGAGGTTTGACTGCACAGAGGCCATAATAAATCAATGCACTTGAATCATCCTGAAAGCACCCCCCCACCCCCCGTCCACGGAAAAAATTGTCTTCCATGAAACCGGTCCCTGGTGCCAGAAAGGTTGGGGACCGCTGCCTTAGATAACCCAGGGCTCCCTCCTGCTCTGGCCCCTGTCCAGGGTGCTGACTGCGTGGGGTGGCACGCGGCCAGGTTTCCCCAGTTCCCTAGGGGCTCCGCACTCACAGCTGTCCTCCTCCTCCAGGAATACTTTGCTCACGTAGCAGGCGAACACGAAGCCGAACAGCTGGGGGAGGACACAGCGCGTCAGGGAGGGAGGGAGGGAGGAGAGGGAAGCTCTTCCTTCACCCCCTGCCTGGCCCTGCCCACCCCCGCTGGGGGGTCCATGTGTGCTAAGAGGAAGGCAAACCCATAACAACTCCAAGTCAAATGACTGCGCCTTAAACTTAATATACCTGGTTCTATTCTCCGTTCTGGGAGTATGATTTTGGACAAGTAATTATTTTACCTCTTTGAGCCTCAGTTTCCCCAGTTGGACCTGGGCAATACCTTACTGGCTTGTTAAGAGGAAAGAGGATCATGGAACTGTGTGTGTAAAGTGCCTAGGGCAGGGCTGAGACAGGCAGGGGGACAGGACAACTCACAGCCAGGAAGATCTGCAGGGCACTGCTGAGTGCTTCAATGTAGGGATAGTCAAGCAGGCAGCCGGTGACCGAGATGACATGGTGGTCCTCCAGGGCCAGGCGGGAGTTCAGGACAGGTGTCACCAGGCAGCCTGGCCCGTTCTCCATCCACCAGGAGCGGTGCAGGGATGTGTTGAAGGTCATGATGAAGTCCCGGTCCTAGGGGCAGAGGGGCCTAGGATACTGAGCTTGGGCCGGAGGTGGTGGGGGTGGGGCGGAAATCCTCCCCAGGCTCCAGGAGACTTCTTTTTTTTTTTGGCAGCACCGCACTTCTTGTGGGATCCTATTTCCCTGACCAGGGATCGAACCCGGGCCCCGGCAGTGAAAGTGCCGAGTCCTAACCACTGGACCCCCAGGGAATTCCCTCCAGAAGACTTTATATAAGGTCTGCTTCACACCTGGGTTGTTGTAACAGCTTCCCTTCCTGGCTTGATTTGCGAAAAGTATGGAAGTCTGTATCTGCAAGTCTACATTTGGCCAGTAGGTGGCGCTTGATGACCATGCAGGCCTCACTCTATCAGAGATGGAAGGGGCTGCTTCAAACCCACAGGAGTCTCAGAATTTCAGGGCTGGAAGGGACATTAATGGTGACGGGGTCCAATTATCCAGCTGTTGGTGAAATTCTCAATACAGACCCCTTCACAGCCCATTCAGCCTCTCCACTGCTCCCTGTGTGTGACCCTGGGCAAACCTCTTTAGACCTTGGTCTCCCCGTTTGAAATGGAGAAGGGGCTGGCCTACATCGGAAGTTCTCACCCACGTGTGCATCTGTTTTCCTCAGTCCATTCACTCAGGCAGTCTATTAACAAATATTCACTGCATGCTGACTTGGTGCCAAGCACTGAGACGTTCGATCTCCTTTCATCCCCTCAGCAACCACATGAAATTGGGGTTTCTATTCACTATACTTACTAGATGACGAAATTGAAGCTCAGAGAGGGTAAGCCACCCTCGGGACCGCGAGGGAATTCCCCATCACTTGTTTTTAAGAAGTACAGAGGATGCCAGAAATGAAAACGTAGGGATAGGGGATAGGGAGCACAGATTACTCGAATGTGTAGAGGGCGGTCTCTTCAAGAGATGCTGCCCCTGAGACCCACACCACAGGAGCCCTTGGGGCAGGGGATGGGAAAGGTCAGTCTCTGCTCTCTGGCACTGCCAGGCCTGAGGCTTACCTGGGACAGCTGTCCGACCTCCAAGTAGAAGCAGATGATAAACGCATTCCAGCCAACCCAAAGCACCAGCCAGGCTGCATACTGGGGAAAGCAGAGGTGGGATCAGGGTGGGGCCTGGAGGAGTGGGGATGGGGCGGGTCAATGGACGGAGGAGACCTTTGCAGAGGAAACTATGACAATGCCTCACTCAGAAAGCAATATAGTTTACACATCATTTTACAACCATCCAGTCCTTACCAGAGCCCTGCAGGGAAGGCGCTGTCTTTCTCTTTAAAGATAACTAAGTAAAGGCTCAGAGAGGTTGACATTTTCCAAGATCACACAGCTAGGAAGAGGTAGGGCTGGCATGCAAACCTAAGTCCTCGGGTAGCTAATCCTATCCACTCTGCAGAGAACCACAGACACCAGATGACATCCTACCCATGGCAAAGAACTAGAGAGGAGCTGGATATTTCCACCCAAATCCCATGCCTAAGCCAGTGGCAGCCATCTGGCAGACAGCGCCGTTTACAGTGGTGCCGGGGGCTTTCCTGAGAACTGGAGAGAAGGGTCCTCTTATCTCAGGTGAGGGAGAGCTTTGGAAGGGCCCTGTTCACCTGGCTTCTGGAACTGAGCCTGTGGGAGGTGTGGAGAAGCCCTAGAATGAGCGCGAGTGGGTGCTGGGGGGGGCATGACATTACATGGCATTGTTACTTTGGGTGTCAAGCATTTCTGTCGTAAATCTATCGGAAAGCCTTTTCCCTCAAGAGAGGTGTATAAATGAGTCACTGAGGAAGAGCAAGGGACAAGGATGAGACTAGTTGAAAACAGTTTGATAATCACGGACCAGAGCTTGGAAAGAGGAAGTAGGAGGGAGCCAGGGACATAATACATTCCTGGGATTGGGGCACGGGAGGCACTGGCCTCAAGGCCACACTAGCCACACTAGACCACATTTTTGATGAACATCAAGGGACAGAAGCCAAGCCTTCCTGAAGCAACTTGAGAGACCAAACAAGACGAAGTCCAGCCCTCACACGGGCTTACTGGGCAGCGTGGTGATGCGGCAGGAGACTTCGCTCTGGACAGGATGCTCTAACCCTGCCACTTATTAGCTGTGTGACTTTAGGAAGCCTTGTCACCTTTCTGAGCCTCATTTCCTCATCTGGAAAATGGAGATAAGATATACTTCGCAGGGCTGTCGTAAAGATAAGTAAAGCAGGTGAAACTCTTAGCACGTGCCTGGAATATGGTAGGCACTCACTAAATGATATACCTTGTTAATATTTGGAATTTTCTGTAGAAAACTCTTTAGGAAAAATACTAATTTTGTCTCCACTGAGCAAAGAAGCATTGGGATTTGAACATCCACATCACCAGCTGGGCTGGAGCCCAGCCAGAGGCAGGGGTCTAGGTGCCCAGGGTGGAGGGCAGCTTTGGCTGGAGAACAAGGTGGGAACGGATGGGGATGAGAAGAGGGGGTTGGCTTGTGGAGAGGCCAAGTGAGCCATACCAGAATGAGGTACCGGGAGCGGTACTGCACGGTACCAAAGATGCCCAGGATAACTGCCATGATGTGCAGGAAGTTGGCTAGGATAGGAGCCCACTGGTAGCCCAGGAAGTCAAAGATCTGCCGCTCCAACGCAGCCACCTGTGGGAAAGAGCAGGCTGAGGCCACAGTCACCACCTAAAAAAGGAGGACAGGTACTCCTTTTCAACCCTGTGGAGCAGGTGACACCAGTTACCATGGTGATGAGGAACCATGACCTGATTATACACAAGTCTCAGAGCCATCCCAGCCCCGCAGTACCAAAGGGATGCTGGGAAGTGAGGACAGGTCTGTGAGGATGAGCGGGACAGAGCCCTGTTCATTACTTAGAGGTGGGCTAAAGGGAGATGGGAGCCGGGGTTCAGAACGCCTTCCTCCCTGCCAAGAAGCCTCCCCATTGGCACCTATACTTTCCCTGGGGGGCGGGTTTCTGCCCGTGGTCAGGATCCAGACTGCCTCCCCCTAGCTCTGGCCTAGGGCTGAGCCAGGGCCCTGGAGACCCCGGGGGAAACCTGGGGGCTCGGTCACGTTCTTCCAAGGACCCCTATCTGGAGGTTGCCCTGGCCCACGGGATCCATGGGCTACAGAGAAACGGGATTTTTTTCACTCCCTGTCCCTGAGGGAGCTGTAGTAGGTTGCACAATTGGCCTCAAATTCTTTCTCTTCCTACTTCCGTGCTCTTTAGCAGTGCCCTCCCACACTAATTTTGTGCTTGGTCACGTGACTTGCTTTGTTCAAGGGGACTTTAGCAAAGAGCAAGCAAGTGAAGGCTTGAAAAACGCCGGTGCGTTGGAGCTTGCCCACTTGTTGTACTTGTAACACAGAGAACACCTTGTGAAAGAGCTCAAGCCGACCTGCTGGAGGAAGAGAGGCCACAGAGAAAAGAACCAAGGCACCCCAGCTGACAGACAGTCAACCATCAACACACACGAGTGAGGCCATCCTAGATCATTCAGATGCTAGCCAACCCATCAACTGACCAAAGACAGGTCGCCAGACCAAAAAATCTCCCAGCTGACCCACAGAATCGTGAGCTAAATAAAATGGTTGTTTTATTTTTTATTATTATTTTTCTTCAATTTTTGGCTGCGCCACGCGGCTTTCACCATCTTAGTTCCCTGACCAGGGATCGAACCCAGGACCATGGCAGTGAAAGTGCTGAGTCCTAACCACTGGACCACCGGGGAATTCCCTAAAATGGCTGTTTTAAACCACTACATTTTGGAGGGATTTGTTACGCAGCAAAAGGTAACTGATATAGGACTCAATCAACACTCCCTTTCCAGAAGCCCCTGGTTCAACCTTTCAGCTGATACATTTAGGAACAAAGGTACCAAGGATACCAGTTGTTATTGACTGTCCCATATTCCTTCTTCTGTTGACAGAACTTATCTCTTTGTTTTGGAAACTGCCTCCCAGACCCTCAGTCCATGTGGCTTGGGTGGGGCTGAGCCCACTTCTAATTTCTTTTTTTTTTAAAAATAAATTTATTTATTTTATTTATTTATTTTTGGCTGTGTTAGGTCTTCGTTCCTGTGTGCAGGCTTTCTCTAGTTGCGGCGAGTGGGGGCTACCCTTTGTTGCGGTGCGCGGGCTTCTTATTGCAGTGGTTTCGCTTGTTGCAGAGCACAGGCTCTAGGCACGTAAGCTTCAGTAGTTGTGGTACGCAGGCTCAGTTGTTGTGGCTCATGGGCTCTAGAGCGCAGGCTCGGTAGTTGTGGTGCACGGGCTTAGTTGCTCCACGGCATGTGGGATCTTCCTGGACCAGGGCTTGAACCCGTGTCCCCTGCATTGGCAGGCAGATTCCTAACCACTGCACCACCAGGGAAGTCCCCCCACTTCTAATTTCTGCAGTGGGCTAGTGACCCAAGTCTAAGCAAATAGGCAACACACAGTGATCTGTCCAGGGATGGGCACTCAGCCTGCGCCCTGAGAGTTATCCTGGATACTTGCTGGGGCATCAGGACAGAGATGCCACCTGCCAAGATACCTGGATGGGCATAGTGTCAGCTGAGAGCTGTTGGTGGCTGTCTTTGCCACCACTTGGGGGACAGCCAGCTTGAGGAGGAAGCCAAAGCTAAAGGAAAGAGAGTGAGGAAGGAAGAGTGAACAAACAAGGGGAGTGTCTGGGAGACATCGTTTTAGGTCTGAGGAACTAGCCATGCCTAAACAAATTCTCCCTACTTGTACTTCTGATTCTGTCACTTGCACCCAAGAGTCCTGACTACATAGAAGGAGAGAGAAGAGGGTCTGCCTAGGGAGGAAGAAAGAAGATCCTGATAAAGTAAGAAGATCCCAGAAGCCTTTTTCCTGGCAGGGAGGCAAGAGGAGATGGAGCTGATGGTACCACACAGATGGCAAAGCTTGGGCAGAGACCCAGGAAGCTGCAGGCCCAACCCTGGCACCCACCCACCTGGCACCAGCCTGCCTCTTGCTGGTGACTCCCCTCCCAGAGCTCTGCAGATTGTAAAGAGCCTTCCAAGTTCATCTCTCACTAGATACTTCTTGGCAGAAAGGCACTGCTGAGATCATTAACGCAGAAGAAAGAAACCATGAGGCTCAGAGAGGGGAAGTGACTTGCCCAAGGTCACACAGCAGGTTGGTGGCAGAGCCAGACAGCCATTCTGCCTTTGTCTGCCTCCTGTCCCACCTTGGCACCAACACACCACCTTTCCCAGTTGGCACTGGCTCGGGAGTTAAGACATGTGGTTTCTGGTTGAGAGTCTGACACTGGTTCCTGGCTTACTTGGGCAGGCTGCCTTCTCTGTGGGTCTCGAGATCCTCTTACATAGAGGCTGCCAGACTAAATGACCTCTAAGGGCCCTTCTGGTTTTGAATCCAGTGGCCTGCCAACCTTGGGGGAGAAACTCCCCAGGCTGCTTCCCCTCCCCACAGCTCCTGCCCCACTTCTCTTCTCCTTTCTACCCTGACTCTGTTAGGCCTTAGGGAGTCCTGGTGGTTTGCGGTCCAGCTGGATGCTCTCAATTCAGCTGTCCTGGCAAGGAGGGTGAGACAGAGTTGCCCAGGCTCATCGTGTAGTTGGGGAGACACCCTGCCTGGATACAACTACCTAAACCTGACATCACCCCTACCCCCACTCTGGCCCTAGCTCAAAACTCCTGTGTTCTCAGGGACCTCATTGATAAAGTGAGCAGCACTGGAGTCACCAAAACTCAAGTTCAAACTGCAGTTCTGCTGTGTGACTTAGGGCAAATTACTTTCCCTCTCTGAGCCTATTTCTTTAACTATAAATGGGGAAGATAATCCCTCCCCTGAGAAGTTGTTGTGAGGATATGGAGACATCACATAAACTAATAATTAGACTTAATATACGGTGGTTAATTAGTAGGAGACCTAACAGTCAAAGCTTCTTAGTTGGGCTTTGAAGGCTGCTAGGATCTGGTTCAATTCTTTATTCCCAGCCAGTTCCTGCCCCCAAGCAGCTGAAATAACAGTTGAGGATCCACCATCATTTCCCTTTCCTTATATCCAAGTCCTCCTTGGTTTTCAAAACATAGCACAATTTTCTCCATTCCTAGGAAGACCTCCTGACTGGCCCAAAGGGATCTCTCTTTCCACTGAATATGGAACACTGGCTGTTCTTGTCACTCTGAGCCATCCTTCCAGCCTCCCTCCAGCCTCCCATCCAACAACTGCCCACTCATTCATCAAAACGCCATCCACATCCATTTACTCCTCCATCTGACATCTGACATGCCCTCATCCATCCAGGGTACATCATTTACTTATTCACAGAACGTTTAGTCTGTGTCAGACCCTGTGCTGGCGCGGATATGCTGAAATGAATACGTTGCAGTCCCTGCCCTTTGGGAACTCAGAGCCTAGGAGGGGAGACGGATGGAAAATTGGACAGTTAAAAACCACTGTGATCAGCGGGATAACCCAGGCCTGAACGATGCTGTCTCTCCCTCCAATGGTGAGTGCAGAAATCGAGGTAAATAAATAAATAGTTTAATTGAGATTCAGTGTCTTATAAATAACCCCAATTCTAGAGTTGTTACCTTTTATTCAAAAACAAAGGCAAATATTCCAGAACTCCTGCTTCTGCAGCAGTGACATGCAGGTAATTAACAAATAAAGATAAGAACAAAAAATAGGAGGAATATCTTCCCCATCTGGTTGCAATGGTTTAGAAACAATAATCTCAGGGCTGCAGTGGTGGTAAATCATAACTGGCCTTGGAGTGTCTCTTTTTTTCTTCTTCCTTCTGGCCGCACTGCTCTGCATGTGGGATCTTACTTCCCCAACCAGGGATGAAACCTGTGCCCCTTGCACTGGAAGTGCGGAGTCTTAACCACTGGACCACCAGGGAAGTGCCTAGAGTGTCTTTTTCGCTTTGATGGGAGGACCTGTGTGGAGACAATAGCAACCTACTCCGTTGCAAAAAGTTCAAGTACACGTGCATTGAGAGGGCAAAAGTGACTTCGGTGGGCTTCCCTGGTGGTGCAGTGGTTAAGAATCCCCTGGCCAACGCAGGGGACACAGGTTCGAACCCTGGTCCGGGAAGATTCCACATGCCACAGAGCAACTAAGCCAGTGCTCCACAACTACTGAGCCTGTGCTTTAGAGCCCACGAGCCACAACTACTGAAGCCCGTGAGCCTAGAGCCCGTGCTCCCCAACAAGACAAGCCACCGCAATGAGAAGCCCACGCACTGCAACAAAGAGTAGCCCCTGCTCGCCACAACTAGAGAAAGCCCGCACACAGCAACGAAGACCCAACGCAGCCAAATTAATTAATTAATTATTTTTTTAAAAAAGTGATTTCAGGGATATTTTTTCCTGGTTAGCCTACAAGTTAGGTGAGGCTGGCTTCTTGGGTCTCTCTCCTAAGTGGGCCAGCACAGAAGCTTCCGTGGGCAACTGCTGTAGCCTCCCGCCTCATCTCCTGGCAGAAGGAGGCTGCCTACCAACCTACCAAATGCTTTTTCTAAAGCACAAATCTGGTCGAATCACTCTTGTCATCAATGCAGCCCAGAGAGCCTGGGGTAATCCTTATGGCCTCTGGGTCAGCCAATCCCCTGGTCACAAGGACCCCAGATAAGTGGGATGAGTCCCCTGACTGTAGTCCCAGAAAGACAG